CCACAATGCTTTGAAACTAGAACTCAATCCCAAGAGGAAAGTCGGAAAGAACTCAAATACATGGAGGCTAAAGAGCATCCTACTGAAGAATGAATGGGTCAACCAGGAAATTAAAGAAGAATTAAAAAAATACATGGAAACTAATGAAAATGAAAACACAACTGTTCAAAATCTTTGGGATGCAGCAAAGGCAGTCCTAAGAGGAAAGTATATAGCAATACAAGCCTTTCTCAAGAAACAAGAAAGGTCTCAAGTACACAACCTAACCCTACACCTAAAGGAGCTGGAGAAAGAACAGCAAATAAAGCCTAAACCCAGCAGGAGAAGAGAAATCATAAAGATCAGAGCAGAAATCAATGAAATAGAAACTAAAAGAACAGTAGAACAGATCAACGAAACTAGGAGCTGGTTCTTTGAAAGAATTAACAAGATTGATAAACCCCTGGCCAGACTTATCAAAAAGAGAAGAGAAATGACCCAAATCAACAAAATCATGAATGAAAGAGGAGAGATCACAACCAACACCAAAGAAATACAAACAATTATAAGAACATATTATGAGCAACTCTATGCCAGCAAATTAGATAACCTGGAAGAGATGGATGCATTCCTAGAGATGTATCAACTACCAAAACTGAACCAGGATGAAATAGAAAACCTGAACAGACCTATAACCACTAAGGAAATTGAAGCAGTCATCAAAAATCTCCCAAAAAACAAAAGCCCAGGGCCAGATGGCTTCCCAGGGGAATTCTACCAAACATTTCAAGAAGAATTAATACCTATTCTTCTGAAACTGTTCCAAAAAATTGAAACGGAAGGAAAACTTCCAAACTCATTTTATGAGGCCAGCATTACCTTGATCCCCAAACCAGACAAAGACCCCATCAAAAAGGAGAATTACAGACCAATATCCCTGATGAACATGGATGCAAAAATTCTCACCAAAATACTAGCCAATAGGATCCAACAGTACATTAAAAGGATTATTCACCATGACCAAGTGGGATTTATCCCTGGGCTGCAAGGTTGGTTCAACATCCGCAAATCAATCAATGTGATACAGTACATTAACAAAGGAAAGAACAAGAATCATATGATCCTCTCGATAGATGCCGAAAAAGCTTTTGACAAAGTACAGCATCCTTTCTTGATCAAAACTCTTCAGAGTATAGGGATAGAGGGTACATACCTCAATATCATAAAAGCCATCTATGAAAAACCTACAGCAAATATTATTCTCAATGGGGAAAAACTGAGAGCTTTCCCCCTAAGGTCAGGAACGCGGCAGGGATGTCCACTATCACCACTGCTATTCAACATAGTATTGGAAGTCCTAGCCACAGCAATCAGACAACAAAAAGAAATCAAAGGCATCCAAATTGGCAAAGAAGAAGTCAAACTCTCACTCTTTGCAGATGATATGATACTTTATGTGGAAAACCCAAAAGACTCCACCCCAAAACTGCTAGAACTCATACAGGAATTCAGTAAAGTGGCAGGATATAAAATCAATGCACAGAAGTCAGTGGCATTCCTATACACCAACAACAAGACAGAAGAAAGAGAAATTAAGGAGTCGATCCCATTTACAATTGCACCCAAAACCATAAGATACCTAGGAATAAATCTAACCAAAGAGACAAAGGATCTGTACTCAGAAAACTATAAAATACTCATGAAAGAAATTGAGGAAGACACAAAGAAATGGAAAAACGTTCCATGCTCATGGATTGGAAGAACAAATATTGTGAAGATGTCAATGCTACCTAGAGCAATCTACACATTCAATGCAATCCCCATCAAAATACCACCCACTTTTTTCAAAGAAATGGAACAAATAATCCTAAAATTTGTATGGAACCAGAAAAGACCCCGCATAGCCAGAGGAATATTGAAAAAGAAAAGCAAAGCCGGTGGCATCACAATTCCGGACTTCAAGCTCTATTACAAAGCTGTCATCATCAAGACAGCATGGTACTGGCACAAAAACAGACACATCGATCAATGGAACAGAATAGAGAGCCCAGAAATGGACCCTCAACTCTATGGTCAACTAATCTTCGACAAAGCAGGAAAGAATGTCCAATGGAACAAAGACAGTCTCTTCAACAAATGGTGTTGGGAAAATTGGATAGACACATGCAGAAGAATGAAACTGGACCACTTCCTTACACCACACACAAAAATAGACTCCAAATGGTTGAAAGACCTCAATGTGAGACAGGAGTCCATCAAAATCCTAAAGGAGAACACAGGCAACAACCTCTTTGACCTCAGCCGAAGCAACTTCTTCCTAGAAACATCGCCAAAGGCAAGGGAAGCAAGGGCAAAAATGAACTATTGGGACTTCATCAAGATAAGAAGCTTTTGCAAAGCAAAGGAAACAGTTAACAAAACCAAAAGACAACCGACAGAATGGGAGAAGATATTTGCAAATGACATATCAGATAAAGGGCTAGTATCCAAAATCTATAAAGAACTCATCAAACTCAACACCCAAAGAACAAAGAATCCAATTAAGAAATGGGCAGAAGACATGAACAGACATTTTTCCAAAGAAGACATCCAAATGGCCAACAGACACATGAAAAAGTGCTCAATATCGCTCGGCATCAGGGAAATCCAAATCAAAACCTCAATGAGATATCACCTCACACCAGTCAGAATGGCTAAAATTAACAAGTCAGGAAACGACAGATGTTGGCGGGGATGCGGAGAAAGGGGAACCCTCCTCCACTGTTGGTGGGAATGCAAGCTGGTGCAGCCACTCTGGAAAACTGTATGGAGGTTCCTCAAAAAGTTGAAAATAGAGCTACCATATGATCCAGCAATTGCACTACTGGGTATTTACCCCAAAGATACAAAAGTAGGGATCCGAAGGGCTACGTGCACCCCGATGTTTATAGCAGCAATGTCCACAATAGCCAAACTGTGGAAAGAGCCAAGATGTCCATCGACAGATGAATGGATAAAGAAGATGTGGTATATATATTCAATGGAATATTATGCAGCCATCAAAAGGAATGAGATCTTGCCATTTGCAACGACGTGGATGGAACTGGAGGGTATTATGTTGAGTGAAATAAGTCAAACAGAGAAAGACATGTATCATATGATCTCACTGATATGAGGAATTCTTAATCGCAGGAAACAAACTGAGTGTTGTTGGAGTGGGGGGTGGGGTGGGAGGGATGGGGGGACTGGGTGATAGACACTGGGGAGTGTATGTGCTCTGGTAAGCGCTGTGAATTGTGCAAGACTGTTGAATCTCAGATCTGTACCTCTGAAACAAATAATGCAATATATGTTAAGAAAAAAAAAAAAAGAAGAAGAAGAAGAAGGTAGCGGGAGGGGAAGAATGAAGCGGGGGAAATCGGAGGGGTAGACGAACCATGAGAGACGATGGACTCTGAAAAACAAACAGGGTTCTAGAGGGGAGGGGGGTGGGAGGATGGGTTAGCCTGGTGGTGGGTATTTAGGAGGGCACATTCTGCATGGAGCACTGGGTGTTATGCACAAACAATGAATCATGGAACACTTCATCTAAAACTAATGTTGTAATGTAAGGGGATTAACATAAGAATAAAAAAATTAAAAAAAAAAAAAAAAAAAAAAAAAAAAAAAAAAAAAAATTAATTACTACAAACAAAAATAAAAAATAAATTACAAATAAGCCAGGTTCAAAAGCAGTCCTATTTTATATTCTGGTCTGTGATTCTTAAAGAGATTCTTAAATCTCTTCAAATTTAACTGAAATCTGATAGATCCTTTCAGTATTGCCCAAAGCAAAATACCCATTATCTATGGTAACCTTCCATAGTCTAAAAAAAATTACAACATCCAGGTAGGATAAGGATGAAACTGAGGTTTTTTCCAGCCATCTCTAACTGGAAATTCCAAAGAGTTGCCATAATCTTGTCAGTAAACAGTCCCTAAGAGCAGTGCTGAAGGCTGAGAAAGAAACAGGTAGACAAGAAATAGAGATGATGAGTTAAACCGTGATTCCTAGGAGATTGACGACAAAAAGGACTAAGTGGAATTGACCAGTAGCTAGAAGCAGCAGCAAAAGGACAGAGGCAGGGTGGGGAGGGGCAGCTAGAAGGGGAAAACGGAGAGCCTGAGCTATTTGAAGGTAGAGGAGATCATGTGCTAGCAGTTTAAGTCGTGCACCTAGAGGTAAAACCAGAGGTCAGCATCCAGCTGCATCAATTACTCGCTGATCAGCACAGACCGGTTAGCAACTGCTTTGATGTGTTTGCTTGTTCAGACACTGAAGACAATAATATTATTTCTTCAAATAGTTATGAGGATTAAGGGGGATAATGTGTGTAAAGTGCTTAACTCATGACGCATAGTAAGAATTCAGTAAAGGTTCATTGGTATTAACTGGTGTCAGTGACAATAATAAAGGAAGAAGGAGAGAATAAGAAAGCTAGGGAGAAAGACCGGGAAGGAAGTTCCCTGTAAAGACTGGGATGGGTAGAATTCCGAGGACCCAAGGGGAGGAGGAGATGTTTAGAGAGGAGGGAGGGGCGCCTGGGTGGCTCAGCCGTCTGCCTTCGGCTTGGGTCATGATCCCAGGGTCCTAGGTTCGAGCCCCGTATGGGGCTCCCTGCTCGGCAGGGAGCCTCTTCTCCCTCTCCCTCTGCTGCTCCCCCTGCTTGTGTTCCCTCTCTCGCTGTGTCTCTCTCTGTCAAATAAATAAATAAAATCTTTAAAAAAGGGGGGGGGAGGGAAGGACATCTTCCTCTGAATCTGGAGAAAAGTATATAAAAGCCTGGATTTCAAGCGGAGCTGCTTAAGTTTTCTCACGACAGTTCCTGCAGACCATGGTGGAAAATGCAATAAATGTGTGCTCTCAGGCTCGGGGGCCCTTAGCAGACAGTGGCTGTTCACAGAAACACTGTTGAAGTCCCATGGTGTGTCTTTCAGATACAGGGCAACTGCACATTCTGTTGTGTATGATTTACTTGTTTTCATATAATGAAGTTACTTACCAGTTAAATTGATTGGAATCGTTTCTGCAAAACTTCTCGTAAAGCGGATGTGCCACATTTGTCTCGCAGCCTCCATCAGCCCCAGTCGGAGCAGCCCGTACTCAGACAGTGATAGGCATGAACTGACAGCCATGTTTCCAATCAGAAGTCAGAGCTCTCTGCCGTGTTCCTATAGAATTGCCAATTTCTGGAAAAAGAAATGTGTTTCGCAGCTGGGGGGAATTGCCCACTGCTGTTTTCAGTAACCTTTCCAAAGAGGGAGGCTCGCCTCTGGGTGATTAATGCCCTGGGAATGGGCTGTGTTTCCCCTCCAGCGCCCCCCCCACACGCCCCACATTGTGCTTCCCCTACATTGCCATTCTTCCCAAGAATGGCCCCCATCACCCCCTTCACTGAGGAGATTAAGGTTCTTTTCATGAACTTCGGCCTCCGCCTTCCATGTTTCTATGCCAGTCTCCTTGCCTGGCCCTCCAGCCTCAGGGGAAGAGCCAGGGTTCTTTCCTCCTTTCTAAGATAAATCCTTCCTCCTCTGGCAGACCCAGTCTCCTTCCACTCTACTGCTTTCTTCCGTAAAACACATGTGGACAGAATGTCTCTGTTTGAGAAACAGTTGACTTCACTCAGCGGCCATGCTCTCTGGCTGACCGTTGTTTACTGCCAAACTTCTTGTACGGGTAGTCTTCATATCCAGACTGCATTTCCTCTTTATCCACTCACTGCCTTCTTAGCTGGCCACTTTCTCCTGGCCTCCACATCCATCGTGCTGCTGCCACTGCAGAGTTCCTAATGACGTCACTGTGACTTCAGTGACCTTGTCCTCTTCCCCACCCTCCTGGAGCTCTGTAAGGTCTGATGTGATTAAATTCCTTTCCTACTGAAATACTCTTCTTCCTTTCTCACATGTCCACTTCCCTGATTTACCTCCTTGTTTTCCTGTTTTATCTCAGTTTCTTTTGCTCGCACTCCCGTGAATTACAGGCATTTTCCAAGACTCAGCCCTGGGCCCACCTGCCCTTTTACGGCCTATCCCTGGGAGAGCTTATCTTTTTTCCTGGCTCCTTACCAGCAGCGGCACCACCAGAGCCAGCTCGCCACTCCAGTCTTTGTGTCTCTGTCAGTGGCACCACCTTCTTCTTAACCTCCGAGAAGGGAAACCTCAAAGTCAGGAGTCTTCGTGTTGGGGTACATGCACTCTAGGGGTACACAGACTTTTCAGGGGATACCTGGGCATGGATAAGGAATCAGTTGCCAGATTTGCAGCTTCCATATGTACTCTTGTCTACAACGGATATGCTCAAGACTGTCCGCTCCAAAGGTTCTCCTTTCCCAACTTCCTAAAAGTCACCCTTTAGCCCTTAGATAAGGGGGAAAAAGGCATGGTGGGTTGCCCCAGGGTATAAAAATTTCACAGGATGCCACAAAAGTAAAGCAAAGAGGAGCAGCCCCCCTTTTTTTTAATTTTTTTTTTTTAAGATTTTTATTTACTTGAGAGAGAGAACAAGCAGGGGGAGCAGTGGAGGGAGAGGGAGAAGCATACTCCCCCCTGAGCAGGGAGCCTGATGCGGGGCTCGATCCCAGGACCCTGGGACCATGACCTGAGCCGAAGGCAGATGCTTAACCGACTGAGCCACCCAGGCACCCTTTGACTGTTTTTTTTTTAAGTATAGTTATATCTAGGTGACAAATTCGTGGCAACCGTATCTATCCATCTTAAAACTAGAATTCAGAAATGAGATGGTTGTTCTGAGGGGGATATATTAACATGTTCACTGGAACTTAAAAATGAGTTTAGACATCTTTTGACAGAAAGGAAGTCTGATGGAGCTGATTAGCCTGCCATTGGCAGACATTTTCCATGTGTACTTAGAGCACAGCTTCAACGGACTTATAAAAAAAACACATCATTTGCTCTTGTTTAAGCTTATAAATGACAGATGGCAACTTAAAAATATGACAGGGGATATAGAGTTGTTCATATTTTAGGGGCCATTCGAGCAAAAGTCTTGAAGACCATCACAGTGGCTCACTCATCTTTAATGTGTCCTTTTCCGTCACTCCCCACATCCAGTCAATCCTATTGATTTTTTTTTTTCCTATTGTGTCCGTTTCAGACTCTGCTGGGTTTTCCAAAGCTTCCTGTCCGCTCTGTTACTCTATATTACCCCTCTTGTAGTTAGCCCCTCTTGAAGTGACTCTCCCAGGCTCTTTCCTACCTCTGTGTCTTTACATTACTCTCCTCCGGCGGAGTGCTCTCTCCTTAACTTTATTCGTCGTGCTGCTCTGGTCATTATTGATCTCTCTCCTTTCTAACTTCTACAGCGTTGGCTATTCCGTGCAGTTAGCACTTACAGAACATCAGTGTTTGATAGCTCTTTTCTCTCTCTCTAAAAAGCTCCTTAAGAGTTAAAAAATATCTCTTTCGATTCTGCAACATCCCCTTTTGCCTAATGCAGTGCTGACCACATAATGGATGTTTGATAAATATTTTATTGACTGCCTAGAGAATAAAATATTCTCTCATTCATTCTTTCATTCTCTCACCCATTCAGCACATATTTTTGAGACCTTTTCTGTACCAGGATTTGTGCTAGGCACTGGGGTACAGCAGGGGAAAAAATAGACAAAAATCCCTACTTCCAAAGACTGATAAATAAATAAAATACATAGTGTGTAAAAGAGTAATAAGTGCTAAGGGAGAAAAAAGAAAAGTAAAGCAGAGAACAGGAAGTATGTGTTGGTGGCAGGTGAGGGTTGGGGGAGAAGCATGTGCAATTTTAGATAGGAAGGTCGGGGAAGGCCTCACTGATAAGGTGACATTTTAGTAAAGACCTGAGTGACTTGAGCTTATCTGTGCAAAGAGCATTTCGGGCAAGGAACCTATTAACATGAAGGCTCTGGGGCCGGGCCTGCCTGACTACCCAGAAGGGAGAGCTTTGGCTGGGGCAGAGTGGTGGAGATGAGTCAGAGGAAGCTCAGGGTGGGAAGGGCAAACAGGTCCTGTAGGTTCTGGGTGGATTCTGGCTTTTGCTCAGTGAGATTGGAGGCCTTCCGAGGGTTTTGAGCAGAGGAATGAGCTGATCTGACTTACATTATAGTAGAAGTCCTGTGGGTGCTGTGTTATGATAGAAGCAACAGGTTAGTCAGGCAGCAAACTATAATAACACAGGCCAGAGATGGTGTTGACTTGGACCAGGGGAAGAGGTGGTCAGATTCTGGGTTTACTCTCAAGGTAGAACAGACAGGATTTGTGGACTGATTGCGTTGAGGTCGGAAGGGGGGCAGGTCAAGAACCGAGGCAAGGTTTCAGGTTTCAGTCCTAAGGGAACGAAGGCTAAATTGCCGCTTGCTGAAATGGGGCAGGCCAGGAGAGGAGTAGCTTTAGTAAGGAAGGTAAGTCAGCAGTGCCTGTTGAATTTGAGGTATCTGTTTAGGCATGCGCCTTCTCGAAGTGTTGATTGGTCCGTACCAGTGTGGGGTCCAGGTGACAGGTCTAGGCCGAAGATGAAAATTTGGGAGACTTCGGCAAATGGATGGTATTTACAAGAGTGCGACTGTGACAGGATCGCTGGGCCCTTCACTGCTAAAGCAGGCATGGGGCAGTCTCCCGTTTACTGAGCATCTGGTATGTACCAGGCTTAATATACAAACCCTAAGCTAGATACTTGTTTTACTGAGGAACAAAAAGGTTAACAGAAACTGAGGACAACGAGGTTAAAGATCAAGCAGCCTGAGGTGACAGCTAGTAAGTAGCAGAACGGGGATTCAAACTGAGCTCTGTCTTAACTCCAAAGTCTGTGTTCTTCCAAGCATCCAGCGCCTTAATTCAACAGTACATTGCATTTTGGAAAAAGTGCTCTTGGCAAGCCAAAATCAGTATCTTTATAAAGTAAATATGCTATGAATCTTCTTTTGAAATGCAGATGGAAAGGAAACCCCTTAGTCATTTGGTTGTCACATGGAATGAAGATTAGATTCAGAAGCTCTGATAACCATTTGCCCCAGAATTTCTCAGAAAAGTCCTGCCTTTCTTCCCACTAACCTTTTTTTTTTTTTTAAACGAGAAATATGAGGTAAGGAGAGTGGTAGGGGTCTGAGGATATAAAGGGGAGAAAGGCCATTTGCGGGGAGGTGAAAGGAGGTGTTTGGAAAACAAAGGTTGCCCCGTTTCCCTCCCTCTCACTCTGTGTGAATGTGTATTTGTATAAGTCTATGACCACCTACAATATTTAGTTAATACTGTGCTAACTACTTTATATGCTTTGGCTTCTTTAGTCCTTAGAACAACTCATTGAAGCAGGTGCTATCCCCCATTTTACAGATGAGGAAACTGATGCTCGAGGTCAAACAGTTACTAAGCGTCCATTACTGTTGCTCGAGCAAACAAAAAGTCAGGTATACAGGATAGTGTGCTATGGGAGATCCAAAGACACAGGAGGCCTTGAGGAAAAGAGATTGAACATATAAAAATTGTAGTATAAAACAAAAACGTACAGAGTAGCATATTCTAGTATATAATGATTTACCAAATGAGTCTTAGTCCTAAGTGCCATGTATTTAAGGCATGAATCCTTAATACACGGGTCATGAGTTCACTGGTCTGAGGTAGCCTTACAGAAGGAAGCACTTGATCTGGGTTTCCAAGAATGGGTAGGATTTCACTTGGTAGAGGAGTGGTCGGAGGTGTTCCACGCAAAGGGATTGGCATGAGCTAAGGTCTAGAGACAAAAGATGTAAGACATGTTTGGGTAAAAACTAGCAGATCGGTTTTAGTTGCAGCAGAGAAATGGAAGCTCTAACTAGAAATGTGGTTTAGAAGATAGGCGTTGAGTCTCGGACTTAGGGAATGGTCCTCTGGTGAGTAGTCATTTGAGCAGGAGTTGAAGGAAGAGTACTCTGGTGGAGGGTGGCTGGCAGCCTGAGGCTGCAGGAGAGATCAGGTGGGAGGTCACAGCAGGAGCTCAAGGGCCGAGCGCTTGAAGGCCTTACCTGCAAACATAGCACAGAGAGCAAAGTACATGACCATGGCGAGAACCATTGGAAAGGAGGGATGTCCAGGGAACCAAGGACAGGGAGGAGGCAAAGACACCTTCAGGCTTTTGAATGTGGTTCTGTGACCTGGAGAATGGTAGCCCCATAAAT